TGTTCTTGCTCTTAGCTTTCTTTGTTTAATTATATACACAAACTATGCGAGAAGTAAGCTCCTCCTCCTCGCTCTTTCTGCAGTTGTTCTCTCTCTCTCTATGTCACGTGTTTTTATGGTAATTAATGTTGTGTAGGTAGGTATAACAGGGCTGAATGTCATTAATAAATTGGAGCGGGGAGGGGGGCACTTTGGATACTTGTGCGTTGAGTGGTAGGTAGTTTTTTTACTGCATATTTGAAAGACTAAATCTATAGAGATGTATGTATATACCTATGGATTTTGTAATTAGAATATATGTACGGGAGATAAGCTAAAAAACGAGTGCGCTAACTGCACTGTACTTATCAGCGAGAGTTGAAAAATAATAAGCAATAGGAGGAGAGAAAGTGAGTGAGAAAGGGGCTGCTTGTGCTGTAATGCTTACACATATATAGTAGATAATTAGATGGACTTTACTGTAACTGTTGATACGGAGGATTCATATTTTTTAGTACATACGACTAATATTGATTAATTTTACGATGCTTGGTATTTAATCTCAAGATGCGTTCATTAATTCTAGTGACTAATGGCTCTTTGCTGCGCCCCCCCCCCACCCCGATGCACCGTGTAACAAGATCTTGTGTTTGTCGAGTGGTGGCCCTTTTTCTTTTTTCTTTCAAGCAGCTCTTGGGAATATTAAAAGTTTTGATCAATCATCAGAGAAGATTTTCTTCTTTTTTTTTTCCATCATACAAATCCACTTAGTATAAATGTTCATTTAAAATGAACGTTGTTACCAATCATGGCTCTACAGAAAGAAATATGAACTGATGTACAAACGCATGGGTCTATACATCCCTCATGTTTTGTTGGGAAAAATACAGTTTTTACAGGATAAAACTGACCATCCGCACCAATCGATCAACTTAATCATCACTCGTACATACAATTTTCAAACAATGCGATTCAAGCCTCTCTGCTCCACTTTAGTCCTCCCTCATCATCGCACTAATCACGATCCTTCAGCCTCTAAAGTTTTCATTGGCAAGCATAAACAGTAGCAACAACAGCTCGTCAATTAAAAAAGAAAAGTGTAAAAGGGAGAGAGTGCCAGCATCTCATTAGCATCTCCAAAAAGGCCCCTAAGTCGCGCTCATCCCCGGCCAAGGTAAACAAGTGCTCTTCCTCGTCTTCAAGTTCCTCGACTTGTGCCTGCACACACACACACACACACACACACACACATATCTCTTCTCTCTTGTCTAATTATAGCTAGAGGAGTGCGGCATCCATCTATCTCTGTGTGTGCAAGGAGGAAGAGCGAGGAGGGCTAGGCCGCCAACGCCGTGAAAAAACATCGGCTCGCCGGCTCCTCCTAGAGCACGCAAAATACACACACCCACGAGCCCTTATCTTCCGCTCCTTTTCTCTATCCTCTCGTTCCTTTTTTTTTTTGTTTTGTTTTCTTTCACACGCAATTCACTATCGAGCAAGCACACACTTATTGCTAGTTTGCACGCATAGGTATGCGTGTATCTAACGCGTGGGCGTACGTTATCGCATGTGTATACACACATTAAAAAAAAAGGGAGCGAGACGACGAGGCGGCGTTTTATCGGAGTCGTCTTCTTCGCCGTGCGCGCACACAACAGTCCCTTGCTCTCCGCTCAATTATTTATAAGCACGCTGCCTTCGATCGAGGGGTGTATATATACCCAACTGTACTTATTTATTATTACACCTTCCTCTCTTCACTCCCTACGTGTACTTACATACATATCCCAATGAAAGAAGAAAAAACACAATCGGATTGGTAAATCCTTACTACATTAATAAGCAAGTGTAGGTTCGTAAAGGTACAAGTAGAATATACCTATACAGGACGAGTTAGACTTACCCATGTTGCTCGGACGTTTCGCGCACACTGGGTGCAGCAGACTATAGAGCAGCCACAGGGAGAATAAAAACTTCAGGAGGAGGTCGATGGAGCACGACGACGATGAACCAGACCAAAGGACCTTCTCCTCCTTCTCTGTCCTGGTCCCTATACGCCTATATATACTCCTTTCAACGCTTTTTCACCCCAAGCGAGGCTTCAGAGGGTATTATTTGTTGTAACTGTCGATGTATTTCTCACAGTTACACACGGAGCCGAAAAAACAGTACGCCTCAATCCTTTTTGCCGTAACCGCAGTAGCAGACCATCATCATCTTTCACCTACTCCTCCTCTATACGTATATACACATTAACATGCACACCCACGCGCGGGTCTTTAGCCGGTCGCAGTTTCCTTTGTGCCCTTGCCTTCGGCGACTCCGTTTATCACAGAGAACAGTCGCGGAAAGCCGAGGACACTCTCCCGCCCGATGGTCGTCGTCGTCCTCGCGAGTGTTCCCGCCTCCCGGAGCATCTAACGGATTTGCACCCTCACACACGCGCGCAGGGCCTATTGTTGTGCACTATCTTTTTTTTTACTCCACTCGCGCTTTATCTTTGCTCGACGAACCCGTACATCACTGCTTACTTATTGCGTGTCACGGACTCACGGGGGCATTAAATTAAAAGACGCCGGAGGGAGGAAACTGAGATTAGAATATATAAGTATATATATAGGGATTCGTCTCTGGAGCGTTGTACAAATGAGACGACGAGCTCGAGGCTCCGAAAGCGGACTTCTGCTCTTTTCTGGTGCTGCTGCTATTGTAGCACTACTCCGGTACAGCGAGGGTGGAGACTGCTACACCGGAAGGTGTAAATTTTGATTGGCTGCTGCAAGGGGGGGCGCGTAAATTTCAATGAGGATGAAATGAAAGAGAGAAATCGACGATAATTTTTATTAATTTGTTCTACACTGCGTTTTATTAGCGTCATGTCTATACAATGTGCTCGTCATACTCTCGATACAACGCAAAGAGCTACGAGATGCAACTTGTACATATTTTTTACAAGACCTTTTTTTTTTTTTTTTTCTTTTCAAGTAAATCCAAGCTACGAAATACTTTTTTTTTTAGTAATAATAATTCACCATGTTTAACAGTGCGTTGTCTTGTCTTTAAATTTAATTTTACAAGTTATTAAGCACTTTGTTTCAACTCTTGACTCGTGATTTGTTTGTATTTTATTCGCTGTATTCGGATTGTTACACTAAGAAAGTTAAGAAAAAAAAAAAAAAAAAAAAAAAAAAAATGAAAAGCGCTACTCTTCATTTTTTATCCATGGATCGAGACAAAAAATATCTCATCTTACCCCTAAGAATACGGAATAAAAGAAACTCCACAGCGTTTTTTGTTTTAAAGACTTGCTGCAGAGCTGTCTCTGTTTTTTTATTTTTTCAATCATCAAACTATACACGAGCTGTACAATATTGAGCTAATTACACAATTTGTGACTTTATAATACATCTATATATGTATTTGTATATTTTTTCAAACGTGTGTGTAACTCTATCACAGGTGACAAATTGAGAGAATACTGTAGCTGTGATTCATCTGCGTATGTGTAATTGTTTTGATGCCAATGGTTTAACGGTAGGGTTATTAAATCTGGTTTAATTATTTTTGGCCAACTTTTAAAAAAACAGCCAGAAACAGTGTTCCCTTAAATATATTTCAGATTACTTCTAAAAAAAATAATACAATAAAAAATACTATTGATTTCTGTTTAAAAATGTTTTTTCTAAAACATCGACGTACAAAGCGATGCATTTCCTACATCACTGGTCCTAACGATTCGTAGAGGATAGTCGTTTTGTTAGTTATTTTTTTATTTACATAATTGACTACCAGCTTCTGTCGCTATATTCTTCATCTACTGTACACTCGAAACGCTTTCCTTCGACAATAGGCAAAGCAAAATAAATCTGAATATGAAAGCTTTTCATAGCATCGATGAAAATAATTTATCAGCTATTTACATTGAACTTTTAAACATAAAATACTTTTTCAAACTTGGTTTACAAAATAACTTGATCAACCTCTATCTTTTCTTCTAAGTGTTATGGCTGCAGACAAATTGCATGTCAGAAATTTCTAACATCAACAATATTAGCGATTCTCGCACGATATTTTTGCGTAACAAATAATACAATCGCAATATGCAGTATAAAGTGGTTATTGTAATACATGTTTTCTCGCTTTTAACTTGATTGTTTTTCTCGGGGGAAAAAAAAAAAAAAAAAAAAAACAGCCAATATCGAAATAAGCAGTGATTTAAGACAAGTGCATTGTTTGGGTTTATGTGTTGAAGCGATAAAATTCGTCAAAAAATCATTTATACTTGCACTTTTTTTTCAAATCAGCAACTTGACACTATACTCCAATCGAATTGAAGCTCCGCAAATACGATAAAAGTTGATTTATCTTGATACAAAACAAACTTTTACTTTCATGAAATTATAATATTGACTTTAATAAGAAAGATCTCAACTCGTATGATTACACATAAAATACCTCATGTAGTTATAAATTCTCAAGGAAACATCTGCATTGTGTGCGGCAATAACTGTCCTCATGTATATTGTTTGCAGTAAATTAATTAATTAAATAATAAGCAATGATAGGTTGAGTATTAATTCTAAGCTTCATTAAAATATTTTGATAAACTCCACAATCACTACAGGCATTTATCTAAACACAATTTAACGGTCTCGACATAAGCTTAAAAGACTGATGTACATGAAAATGTTTTCCAAGAGAAAAAAGCCCGATTGTGGGTGAACATCAGGTGTAGATAAAATGGCACAATATGCCATTTGCTGGCTCAGTCAATTAATAATAGGTTCTCAACTAGAGGAATTTTAACGATTTCCCGAGCTATAAAGAAAGCTTTTGGTTTAGTGAGATAAGGTACCTCAGGTTCGAAGTATACCATATCATCATAATTAGAGACTCGGGCCGAGACTGCATTTTTCCAAGACTCAAGCTTCGTATAGATCATTTTATTCTAAAAATTTATACTTGAAAACTCTAAAAATAAGTGTTGTTAGATTATTCTTTTAACAAACGATCCTTATTTGATATCAAATAAATTGTTTCAATTAGAGGTATAGAACGATTGCTTAAAAAAAAAAAGGAGTCAGAATTCAGAGGATTATTCGATTGTAAAAGTTCAAAAATCTTTTCAATTTTCTCATTCCGTTAGAAAACTCATCATTTATCTAAGCTCTACTTTTATAAACCACGTTAAGAGACTCGAAAAGATAACATTCATGCATCTTTCTTGCATTACTTATCAAAATCCTCAAACATATCACGTTGCTGCATAGCAAAAAAGAGATAAAGCAAATGGAAAGAAAAATATCCATCCAGTTGAAAGAGACAAAGCAGAAGTTTACAGTGCTATCAACCTCGACTTGCATTTGTTCCATCGATCCTGCAACTTTTGACGTTCTTCGAGATGATGATCAGAGAGATTGCGAGTCATACCTCCTGCGCCTGTGGATTTGTGCTTTCGAGGATCGAGATTGGCACCGAGATTCTGCACGCCTTTGGCAATCTTGGAGAAGGGCGAGAGGATTTCTTTGGCGGTAGCGGCAACAGGGGATGTGGTGCCTGCCATATTGGATTTCATGGATTTGAGGGCTGATTCGCTTTGTGACGTGCTAATGGACAGCGTGAGGTCTTGCTCGGAAGACGATCGTTTGTTGCCTCCGGTTTGCAGAGTATGACTCTAAAAAAAAAAAAATAACGTTTATAAATACGGAATTTGTGATACCCGGTGAGTTTTAATGTATGCTTCTTTCATACCCCAGAAGGATCTCTAGCACCAGGTACATGACTATCAACTTCGCCAGAAGAGTGGCTGATATTTCTTGACAGGTTCAAAGAGGATGGTGGTACCATTTTCTCACTAAATACACTACTAAATGCTTCTCCGACACCCTGAACCGTAATTTCAGGCGTCGACGCGAGATTTCTCTGTGAAGACGAATCCGTGCCATTTAATTTACGATTCGAGGAATCCTGTAGGAAAAAGGTCTCTCAAATCATTTTTTTCTTATCATTCTAACAAATCATCAAAGTTAGTTACCTCATCAGTCAATCCATTAATCGCCAGATTGCTATTACCGGCAGCCGACTGAGCGTTCAACTCTTTTCCAACCTCGTCAACTCCACTATTATGGACACCCATAATGATTCCGATCGTCGGCGAGTATCCTTCCACCGTATTCGCATCTTGCTGGAAGTCCATTGGCCTATCCGTATGAATGGGGATCATCTCGATTTTTTCCTCCTCATTGGAGCTGCTGTCGTCGTCACTGCTGTTTTTGTCATACATCTCCTTGGCTAATTCACTTTTGCCCAGTGTAAATGATGGCTTTATACCGTCTACGACTTCAGACTTCTTGCCGATGTTCTTAGCAAAATCGATGGGTTTTTTTGTGGCGAGACTGTGGCTGAACTTGTTGAGTTTGCTGAACTGCTCCGACATGTTGCTCAAAGCTTTCGTGCCTAAAGAATAAGTTTGAAATTTTTTACTTGTTTTTCAATCTTTACTAATAATTTAAGCATTGCGATACGTACCTACACTTTTCAGAGCATTAAGTTGCGTTTCAGAGACGTTTCTTGTCAACGAAGGGAATGACGTGATATCCAAAAGACCAGTGTGGCCCTTGTTGACATTGACTACCTTGCTCTTCCGCTTGTCGAGCATTACGTTCATGGCCACAGGTACTTTTGCCAAGCCTGCGATCTCCATAGCTACGCACATGGCCTCGGATATAGCTTTTAAAGATTCTAAGCAAAAAAAGTTCAATGCTTTGAGTAAGCTCGAAGCGACATTTAATTTTGTAAAACGTAATGATGTACCAATGGTTTCCTCTTCGGTTTTAATGACTATCGCCATATTGTTGAAGAAGCGCAAATTTGTACTGCGAAACATGTGGAAGTAGCCGACCTCGTGGCCTACCCTGTAATTTATCCTAATGCAGTAGTGGTTCTTGTTTTTGAACCAGGATACCGTATTTTCTGGCTGACCCAACTCGATAAAAACAATATCGGTCAGTAATACTTTTTGGTAATTCGTCACCTTGTCGATTTGCTCATCGTAATCGGCAATGTAATAACTGTCGCGCGTTAAAATTAAAATACTGTCCATTTCTGTTTCCGTGGGATCACCCGTACTGCAAAAACACATCGGTATGACAAGGATGAAAACAATTTCAAGATATCACATCAATGGCACTGAAATTTTTTTTATCGAGCTGTTCAATGACTTACACAGGATCTGCGTCAATCAGTCCCCAACTGTTGAGAATAGTTTCAGGATCGGGAATCAATAATTTTTTGCAATCTTCTATCAACAATTTGACGTGAATTGCCGTAGCTGCATTGTCTTCCTCGTCCGTTCTTTCTTGGAATTCTTCCTCGCTCACGGCATTACCCAACATCATGTCGATTGAGGCTTGTCGGTAAACGTCCTTGAATCGATTCAGATAATACCTGCCGAGTAATACATTAGCAAATTTATTGATCTTACATTTTCACTACAGCAATAAGTTAAAGATATTACTTGAACAATAAGATTATAGATTAGTTGGAATCAAGTTTCCATTCTATCGTACTCGTTACGTTTTATACACATTCACATTGCGTGCCAAAGCCATGCCTACTGTTTTCGGTAAGCATTATGTTATTAACTGTCAGTCGATTATACAAGAGGAGATAATAAAAAAAGTCAAACTATTCAACTAATTCGTCAATTGTACAACTAAAAGCAACAGCCTATGTATAGTAGTAGGTATAAGTAAGCCAAGATACAGAAATGAAAAAAAAGAAGAAAAAAAAAGTTGGCATACGAATGACGAACCTTGCTAAATCATACACGATATTGGCGTAAAGAAATTCGGGGTGTGTTGCAAGTTGTAGCTGTATGTTCGGAGGTTTCGCGGGTATGAGCTCGAGGCAGCAGTTATCGATAACGTTTATGTAATGCGACCAATCGTCGTTCAGTTGCTCGAGGTCGATCTTATAACCGAGCAGGACATCAATCGTCGCCTGACGAATGTCGTCCATAAAGTGCTGCTGAATGTATCTAGAGATACACACAAAACTGTTACGAGCTATTTTATTGTGCTTTTTTCCCCCTCATCTATAATTAATTATGTCGCGTGCAATTGAAATAAAACAATGTGTTTGAATCGAGATATCTATGTGCGTATGTTAAATTAGCCGTGACTGCATGGTCGTAGTTGTCTGTTGTAAAAGCAACGTATGTAGATGCATACAATGACGACTAACAAAGTCCATCAACTCACCTGTTTGCCGAATTCATGCCGTCCTTCATCAGTCCCGTAAATTTTCTCTCCCCCGTCCTCGTGTAATCTCCCTGTAATAATCAATCGATAAAATACACAGTTTTCTTCTTTTCTTTTCCCCCATCAATAATAATGAAAAAACAAACCAACCTTTAATGCATTAGTACCAGCGTACTGTTTGCTAATAATGTCACCATTATTGGCCCACAGCGATTGAAAAGTTTGCCTAATGTTGACAGGCAGCGTACCGTCGGGTGGTATGAGACCGAGCTTCGAGAACTGGATTTCCATAATCGCCTTGCCCAGAGCTGTTTGGACGACGTTGGTTCGATCGAGGCAGTCTATGCAATTGACCCGAAACACACCTTTTTGCATACAAATCGGGCCTTGCCGGTCATGCCAGCAGTAACCCATTTCTGCGATTATGGGGGCCAACGATGACACCAGGATCGAAACGTTTTCAAAGTGCATACCCCGACTGCAAGAAATATTGATTGACAATCACCAACAAGTGAGAAATTTTTAGCAATTGTATGTATAATATATATGCATGTTATGTACCAGTATTCGTGAAAATCAAAGGTCGTGTAGGTGATGTCCGAGTTGTCGTAGTTGAGAACGTGGTTGCAGTAAGCCTCCCAAATGATGCTTTCCTTGCCGCTCTGTTCGACTAGATTGACGACGCACACGGGCCCGTAAGTACTCAGCTCTTCCGTAAAATGCTTCTCAAAGGCAACTTGCGTCTCAGCCTCGTCTGCAGTCGATCATCATCATCATCAAATAATCAAAACGATTGCGTTGCGATAAATTGTATATAAAAAAAAAAAAAGTATCATTTCACCTCGATCTATCCGAGGCGGTGGCTTGTACTTGTATCCCGGCTGCGACCAGTACACCGGCACGCTGCCCCTCACCTGGACAAAGGACACCTGGTGGTCGTGGTACCAGACGAGCTGTTCCGTCTCGACGTAATTGGCGCACTTGCCGTTCTCGTCCACACCTCGTCTCTTGTACCTCGTACCGGCGCGGAATCGACTCCTCCTCGATATGATGGCCAGGTTGAAGATCTCGTGCAACGGCTGGCCATCGAAGCCCACCTCCACCTGGCACTTTTCGATCTGCACGTAGCCCTGGATTATCGGAAGGATCCAACAATTCGCCTCTTGCGTCTGTTTTATTTTGTTTTCAAGACAATGTATTAGCATTATTATTATCCAGGTAACAAATAAAGGTGAGGGAGGCTGAATCGTCTTACGTTCAAGTTGATGATGTCCTGGAGCATAAACTTGTTCCAGAAGAAGCGGTCATCGACCGTCTGCCAGTTGGGAAGGTGTTGGCCGCTTTCCTTGGCGCAGAGCCTCTGGAGGCTGTTGGTGATGTCCCTCGTCCGGCAGAAGAAAAACGAGTCCGTCTCGGTGAAGACCTTGTGCAGTTCGTCGATGATCCTCCTCTCGAACCTCTCCCTGTCCTTGACGCCCGTTCTCTTGGTGACGCTCGACTTGACCTGGGACGTGGCCAACGCGGCCGCCTGCTGGGTCGTGTTCTTGATGGTGTTGGTGGCGCTCTTGATGGTGCCCCAGGTCTTGGCAAAACCGGCCTTTTGGGCGTCGAAGAGCCCGACCCCGGAGCTGGGTTTCTTCTTGATGGGGGCGTGCTGGTGTTTGGGGCACGGCTGCAGCCCGATGTCGAAGTTCTCCGAGCCGAGGTGCAGGAAAGCGACGGACTTGATCTTGTGGACCACGTGGCCGCCCTGGAGCTCGCCGGCCGGTGACGTTTCCTTGATGAGCATCAGCCGGGTCTCCAGCACCTGGGACTGCTCGATCTTACCGATCAGCCCGTGGAACAGGCCCAAACACTCGAGCTCCACCGCGCTCGCCCATTCCCAGTCTGGAAAATACAGTTTTGGTCAATGTGTGCGTCGTTACTAACTTTTTTTTTTTTTCTGATTTTTTTTATTACAATCTATCTCCGTAATATTAATCGGTACAAGTATACAGCAATTTTTTTCTATCGCTCGATCAACGATTGAAATTTTTATCGTTAATCACCATTGCGATAACTAATTATACGTTAAATATTAAATCGTTAATCGTTGATAATGATATTTTTTCAATCCTGTTTAGTAATTGTATTACGTCGAGTTTTTAAATAATCATACAACATTGTATATTTTTTTCGGAGCAATCCAAAAACCTAGCTGCTAGAATCAAAGTCAAAATAAAGTGCATTGAATACAAAATTTGTGGGTATTAATTTTTTTTTNTACACAATACTTTGAAGCCAAACTGTAAGGTAATGCTTGCGGTAACGCAAACACACACGTAGGTATACTTTTGACAATTTTTTTTTTTTTTTTTTATTTTTTTTTTTTTTTTTTTTTTTTACAACTTTTGATAAAAAATGTTTTAACGATATTTTCAATGCAGTCTTTATTGGACTCAAACGTAAAATAAAAAAATTTGTTGATCCTAAAACAACAAGCTTTGAACAAGATATTATTTTCTCCCCATTACAAGGCCAAAGACAAGTTGTTATAGATGTAAAGTTGTGCACCAGCAGCGAGAATCGTTGGCGTGCTTTTAACGCAAAAACATAACTTTGAGAGCATAGATTAAGCTTTATATTAAAAATAAAAAAATAAAAAATGCATAAACCGTATGTATAGATAATAACGCAGTTGTTCGTGTCTATAGACAATAATAATCCATACACAAGTCGTATACTTATAATTCCACCTAACAGTGCTTCGCTTCTTCTTTGGCTCCTTGAACTGAATTTATTTAGGAAATGTCTGCATTATGTATACACAATCGTCGTGCAAGTACTTACATACTGCGATGACGCTATCTAGATTTGAAAACGTTGCGGCTTAATGGAATTTCGGTGCTTTTGCGGCACACTCTGTCATTTATGTATACAAAACGTCTTTTGCATTCTTTTACTCGCATACATTTATGGCGATTGTGGGAGGGGAATGAGGTACCTGTAGAAGTATTACCCATATTCAAGAGAGAAGAAAGTTATTCAGCGCTATAACGCGCGAATCTGCATGTTCGTTCTTTATTCATGAGCCATGCACTCTGTCTCGGATTCTGATAAATTTGAAACTCGTAGAAAATGGCCCCTCACAAATACGCGCACAATTTGAGTTTTTTTTTCCCTATTCTTTCCAACCCAAGGATAAATCGATCGATGGAAAATAGGAAAAAACCAAAATGTATATATATATTTTTTTTCCATCCCAAATAAAATTGTTCGAAGCCAAATTATAAAATTCTCGTGGCAAAGAAATTTCCTTTATCGCGACAAGTACAACAACAGCATTATGCGGCAAGTCGCACGAAAGAACGCGTGCACACTGCGGTTCATCGAAATGATTACTTCAAACACGAAAAGAAAGTTTCGCACTATAGCTTGGATTAGTCATCCGTTTGTAAAAAAAAGTCGATTAAAATGAATGATCCTGTATTTACATGTATAGCTCTCAAACCGTTCGAGCTCATCGATGCAATTAAAAAGCCAAAACTCGGTCTATCATTAATAAACACACGACGCGTACAAAAAAAAAAAAAAAAAAAAAAAAAAAAAAAAATAGATCCCACTGCCGGTGTCCACAAAACTCTTTTCTCACCCAACAAATGTGCTTGGCGGTGTATGGATTATCGATTGACCCAATTGTGATCCCTCGATCGAGAAAAAAACCAACTCTCTCGCAGGGGAAAACACATCATCCCCAAAGGATCGACCTTTTCTTTTTCCACTCTAATACAAAAAATCAAACGAACTCGCGTGTCCGCGTGTACATTTATAAACTTTTCGATTTCTTTCTCTCAATTCCTCGGACGCAGTGACGCGATGGATGCGCTATAAAGAGAAAAAATTGCGAGATCCAAGAATAGACGTGCAATAACTTGAAAGGGGCAGCGTCGAAGCGAGTATATCGTCCTACCAGTCTCGTTATCATATCACAGGTTTTTTTTTTTTTTTTCAATATCGATTTCGATACGCGGGCCTAATCGCGCGTTGCTCAATTTTTCAGGCGCGCGCTAAATCCCGGGCTCCTCGAGAACTTTCGCTGGCCCATATATATATATATATATATATATATATATACACGTGAATAACGAACAAGTTCGCCCGAGGGGTTTGGGTGCGAGGGAAAAACAACCGTAAGGGCAATGGGCTTTATTTCCGCTCCGAATTGCCTGTCCCAAAAACAACGCGGTGTAAATTATTCATTGGCTTGGTTACTTACTTATTATTACCGCCGTTAGTGCACGCGCGTTACGTGAATCGGCGCATAGGGAAAATCGAAGTTTATTCGTCGGGGAACGTAAGTATAATAGAAATAATCGTGTGTGCGTATGTGATATGACACGGAGGGGGGTGAAAGACCTACTTTATTTTTTCATAAAAATATCGTTAGTGTGTGGGTAACTTTGAACTTTTCATTAGGTCAGATATTTATAACACGAGAGAGAGAGAAGGGGTTTTCATATTAATTTTTTTTTTTTTCCAATACGCCTTCTTCGACTTTGAAAAAAGAAATTTTACATATTAAAAAAGGTTGGCAGTAATACACAGAGTTCATCTCGCGCTATGTCGACGTTTAAGGTCACAGCACATGTTATTTCTATATTAAGCCCTTGTAAGGTATCTTCTGGAAAATAAATGTGTATAATCTATTAGGTTGCGTCTATCAATGATATCTTGTCGCTTTGATTAAAATTTATTGATAAACGCGAGAAAATTGTACGGATGTGAAGATAATTTTAATCTCGATTCTAACATCTATTATTACTTTTCAATGCAAACACAAAGTTCCCAAATAAAGAATTATATAGGAATTGAAAAAGCTAAATTTTGTGGAGAAGGTTCCGTAATTTATATTATTAAAAAAGAAAAAAACACTATTCTCGCTGCTATTCATTATAAATAAACACATTCGTCATTATTATTATTATACATAATCACATAAAGAAATAATAATGCTTTTTTACATTGGAAAAAATAAAAAATTTCATTTCTTCTATTAAAATAATGCAGTTGTTAAAAAAAGGAAAAAATCATTTTGTCCATTTCGTGAAATGCTCATTTCTTCCCTAAATGAAGAGATAAAACGTATAGCTTTTTTAGTAATTTCGTTAATCGTTTTATGCACGTCAATTATGTCAAATGGTTACAAGCAAGCACAAAAATAGGTATTAACAACGGCTCAATAAAAACTGGTGGGGAAAAAAAATAATAAGTCAATGAAAAGTAAAGGCAGGCGAATTCTTTCCCTTCTTTCTCCACCAGCATCAACAATCGCGAATCAAGTATAACTCGTAATTTAATAGCAGTCTGTTGACTCCAGCAACAAGCGTGTGACAGCGAAAATCGAAACCAAACAGCTATTGTCGCAACTCCACAGACACCCACGCAATCATCATTCACAATTAGCCATTATTCTTATCGCGTATGAACACGAGTGTCAAGTGCTACAACGAATCATTGGCATATAAACATCCTGCCTTCTCACTATTTAATCATGACTATACATTTTTTTTGCTCCCTGCATGTATACAGGATCTTGTGCCTGTCTCTCAACTTTCATAAAAGTAAAAGAATGAAGATAATAATCATCACTGACAATCAAAACAACAAAAGAGCAAAGACATGGTAATATATGTTTGACAGCTGATGATGACGTGACGATAATCATCGGGATGAGACGGAGATTCGTATGGTGACAACAAAGCACGTCATAATATATATATTATGTGCTGTATATGTAATACTTTACCCGATTTGGCCGCAAACTCGCCAGTCTGTTTGTCCCACCAGAGGCTGTGTCCCTCCTTCACGAGGATAAAGTGCGTGTCACTGCGGAAGAGCTCCATCTCGTCGCCCTTGATGACTCCACCGACGCCTCCAGTTTGCTCATCAATGACACAACCCTGCACCCAACGGCAACAAATAACTGCGGAATACTAGTGCCTCCCTTTACTATACGTGTAATGTTTTGGATGATCCCAATAAGTATACAGGACACTGCAGAATGGACAATCCAGGAACACAACAAACGCGTTATCACTTTGTACTCCAATTCCAAACTAAACAACTCATCCCTTCGATCTCTGGACTCTGAACTCCGAAATGCTTCTGCTCAGCAGCTCACTTTCACCTGACAAATGCATATAGAACATTTGACAAAACGATTTCACTGCCCCCTATCGCCTCTAGGGTAAAGCTTTCAAGTGCGTGAGCAGCGTGTGTGAGTGCAGTTAACCTTACCTTAGAGCAGAAAAAAGAGCTATAGTTTACGTATATAAACAAACAATCAAACTCTGGCAGAAGAAGTGCACTGTTACCGTTGTCGTGTAGGAGGTTGAAAGCAAGGCACGTGTGGGCGTCGTTTAGAAGCAAAGGTTCCGGTAACTCGTTGTCATGATGACAACGATAAAGGACCTCAACGTCGCGAGGAAGGCCCTAATGGTGTCACTGGGGGACAAATCCAAGACCTATTTTGATAAAATGAGGTTATGGTTCCAAATGAAGTCAACGAAGGAGGAGTTCGATGCCGAGGCCCGGTCGATGATGACCGAGGATCAGGTGCATCTTCACAACGAGTTTTTACTTTGTTTGTTTAATAAAGTGCGTGGTCTTGTTATCTCTGCTCCTCCAACGAGGATGGCCCACAAAGTAAGCAACGGCAGCAACAGTAACATGAACAACAGTAACAGCAACAGTAATGGCAACAACAACAGCGGTAGTCTATTGAGCAAAACTGGAGGATGTGTATCCCTTAAGAGGAAGTACAAGTCCGACAACGCTAATTTCGAGCCTGCAGACGTTTACGCTGAGGTACTTAGTCAAGTGTCCTCTCCCGTTGGTGACGAGCCCGTAGGTGCAAACAGATCGAGCGCTCAGGAGCTGATCTTGCCAGATCGCACCTTTGTTCTAGCCAGATTGATGCTCGCAGCCTGGGAGAACAATATGGATGGTGCCGAGGACAGTACAGCTCACATAATCATTGCTGCAACGCACATCTTTCTCAAAAACATTCTCACGGCAATGATGACTAGGCGCAAAGGATTCCAGGTGAGGGATGGCTCGTTCATCTACAATATAGGTGAGCCCGTGCCCAGCTCGTGGAAGAGAAACACTTCTGTTTTGCATCAAGAGGCCAAGTTCGCCAATCCAACTATGGTGGTAGATCCTGTGGGCCAAATGCCAAAAATGAAGATGAGCATAGAGGAAGCGGAGCAAGCAACGGCTTTTGCCTTGGGCTGCGCAGAACAGAGGCTAGAACCACCGCTGCCGCCCCTTGGAATCGTCGATTTGCAGAAGACTCTGAGGAAGCACAAGAATCTCGTGAAAAATCACATGATTTATGCCACTAATTGCGAAAGATTATTTACATTTAATACTCATCCTACAGCAGAGGAAGTTGAGGCACAAAAACTTATAACTTGATCATGTTACTTGTTATGAATTTTTGTGTGGTGTACATGAATATACTGTGTAAAATTGTGTTAGTTTTTATTGGTAATTTTATTTTTGAATAAATTGTTATCTATTTTTAAATAAACAGTAGTTGATGTATTTATTTACAATTTATAAGGTTACCGTCTTTGAGACCTCGTTTTCTTGACTAGTAAATTGGAGAAGTGTAATAAAAACAAAGTTTTATATTAAATATACTTTATATTTTAGTTACTTGAAAAAATGTAGTTGTATACAGTAGAAGCAATAGGTATTTACAATATATTTGTTTTTTTCATCGTATTTTCGACGTACTCTTGCTGGATGTTTAAAAAAGTTGTTAAAACTAAATATTATAAATCTAGAAATTGTTGAAGGACTCTATTAGTTTTTTGTGTCGGTGTTGAAAAAAAAAAAAAAGAAAACAATTCCAATGAATATCACATAAATATTTTCTACCAAAAGTTGTTACATGCATTTCAAAATCAACACATGAAAATTGAAACGTGAAATTATTACAATCACATATACTTGTTGGTTTATGCCTTATGACTAATGCTTAAAAATTAAAAAAAAACCTTATTGCTTTCACAGCCAGATTTATGTTTGACTTGGTGGGTCAGTCCTTTCAGTTCGTTTGCTTTTTTTGCATTTTTTATGCATTGACCTGTACTCTTCCCATTTTCTGTGATTTAGGACTTGAAAATCATCTAATTCAGCGATCGCCTCTAAATACTTGGACAACTTAAGAAGTTCTCTGTCAGTATTTCTATTCAAGTGTGCTTGTTTGAAGGCCTTGATTCTAAGACCTGACTGTGGGTTCATGATGAAATTTCTCCTGATGTCGTCAAACATAATTGTGTTTTTAGCAGAAAACTGCTTGTACTTGCCCCATATAACACCAAGTGGCTTTACATCCACGACACCATACTTAGGGGTGTGAACGGAAATCATAGCAAGAGAGTCTACATGAAAAGCAATTTTATAGTTTGGATTATTAGTTACTCCTAATAGTCTCATTTTCTCATTAATCCACTTCATGCTGGTGGCAGACCAGATAACAATGTCATAGTTTTTGTAAGCACTTGTGAGGAACTCGTGTAAGTACGGTCTCATCAGTTCAATTCCCGATTCTGCAACGGATCTGTGATCAAAGAGGGTGTAATCAATGTCTAAAACCAAGAGTTTTTTTCCCTCTCTGAGTGGACTAAGTTCTTCAATCTTGTAAGTCTCAATTCTCTTTTGTATCTTAGCAAGGTAGATTTCAGCCTTTTCGATTTCCACTTCCTCCTCTTCAATATCCAAATCATTTATGACTTCTGGCATATTTTCTGGAGCCTGACTTACCTCAGCTATGTCCTCTTCTCGTGAGCCCATCATCATGAGTTTAAAACCTTGTTTCAATCCCAACTGACTTATAATGTCATTGTCCTGTGCAGCTTTACCTAATTGATAACAAAAAAAGTATACTTCAATGCAACTATCTAGATTACATACTGGAGTTTAGGTAATATGTCATGAAAACTAAACAAGTGAACAAAATATGTAAATAAGTGGATCCAAGCACCATTATCTCACTCTATACGATGTGTATACAGAATAATTTAAAAAAAAGTGTAAAATCAACAAAATTTGCATAAAATAATAAAAAGAGAATTAATCACAAAAAAAAAGAAAAAAAAAGAAATTAGTTTAGTAAACAAATCTTAACCTTTAAATTTGAGATTGAGAAGTTTCTGCCTCTCGGGCCTAACTCCGGTGAGTTTGTGTATTTTGTTCTTGAGGGAGAGGACAGTATCATTCTCCTCGATGTCAGTGATCGGGTACTCCTCGCCGCTCCACTTGACAGTGATTTTATTCTCCATTGTCTGTAAGTTTGGAGTTGAGATCTAGTATTAGTATTTGCTCTTTGAGTGCGCGACGCGCGTGTATACTCTGTAGAGCGTACAAAACACTGAAATAAATTTTGTGTATAAATACGGGGTATCGTCTTCAAATGTCCTCAATCGTCCAGTCTTGATCAGAAGGGGGATAAAATAATTAATGCCTTGATGGGGTTATATTATATATTTTCTCTCCCAGAGATGCCCGGGATGTATCTTGTCACTTGTCCGCTACGTAAAAATAAGATACATTTCTGTTATCTTTTGATCTTGTATTTATCTTTTTATTTCGTACGAGTATGAGCTTGTGCTTGTTGTTGATGTTGGTTAGATGGCGTTGATGGGTCCCCCCCCAAAGAAGTTGCAGACTTGCAGCGGGACTTGCAGGTGCGGCTATTTAATTTAACGCCGAAATGATGTATTTTTTTTTTTTTTTACTTTCGTTGGCAAATCATTTTTCAGATGCGGTGAATGGCAATTTTTTGAGGATTTTTTGAATATAATCTTATTGGTGACTTTATGGCTATTTTTACGTAGTATTTACTATGTATGAAAGTGACAAGTGACGCATTGTGTGCACACAGCAAATGTAACTATTTCATACAATAACTATGGTGGAATTCTTTATTTATGATGAGGTTATCAAGAAAAACAGGCTGGTAGAAAACATCAAATTGAATTTGAAAAATAAATGGATGTTTTTTTAAAGAAAAGTTCAAATTTCGAATGGAACCTAATTTAGAATTCTTCGGTTAACGACTCGATTAAAACAATTTCCAAGTACATACATCATCAAAGACTAACTGAAGATAAATAAAAATTCCGAAATAGTATGTATCAAGAACAGATCGGGTAAGTATATATATTTAGATATTATCAAAGTTTTTACCTTTCACTAGTTAGCCATTACATTGATGACGCATATACTTGCAAAAAAGAATGGTTCTGTTTTTATGAAGTCGTTAACTGAAGAATTATAACTTGCGTGCAATACGAAATCGTAATTTTTCTTAAAAAAGAAGAGTCACCAAGTACACATTTTTTAACTGTATAAAAATAAATATACTGGATGACGCACACTTATGAAATTATTATTCAGCTGCAAGCCGTTTTTTTGATTATCATGTACTGATTGCTATTAAAAAATGTAAAAATGAAACTAGAAAGAATATATATTTGTTACTGATAAATTACATTAGAATTTCGATTTAAATCGCTTGAGTCGCAGCTTTCATAGTTTTATTAATTATTTAGTTAAAATCTCCATTATATTATAAAATTATGTGCACTGATTGACATCTGGAGTTATCATTGTCACTTACTATATGTTCATCTAAATTTTTACTATGTCATACACTCGTTGAACATTAACACTATAGTTATATTTTTAGCAGTAAATATTCGCATGTGCAATGCATGATAGTAGTCACAATCATCGTATACTTTTTATAACATGTTAGTGTTTGTTAATTAGCTGAAAAATGTTGTGCTGTTGGAGTCAATTTACACGACAGTTGTTGGCGATTTTTGGCGACCACTTATGTCATTACTATGTCAGATGGCGACCCCCTGATGGTCACCCTGAAATAACACTCACACTTTGATTTTATGTTACTTTACAAGAACTCATATATTTTACGTACCAGTAGTTAATAAATTATTTTCTGTCAGTAAATTTCTTCAAAGTTGTTTTCTTACAACGTTTTTCGAATTAAAACTCAAAATTCATGAAATTTGCAGAAGATGCGACAAATGTATACTCAATTGTCATTACATTAACTTTTGACGGCTATGATGACAAGTAACTTTATTTTAATCGTTTGTGCAGCCCATTCGATTGTTATTCAATTGTTTGTACACATCGTGATTGCAACTGCCGATATAATACTACTGATATGAAAAAAACGAATAGTATATACTATAAGCATGTAATGTGTGCAATGCGTTGCAACTGTACGAGCTCATTACTTGGTAGAAAAATTTGCAGTTAAAAGAATATTAGAGGATTGGGCAGGTACTACGAAGTTAGTTGAATAAAGTATAGATTGATAAAAAATGTCTAGCATCAATGAAAATTAGTACTTTTAATTTAGGCCGGCATTTGTTGCCGAAATTTTGTGGACGACCGAGTACAGGTTTAATTTGCTTGGTAATTTGATATTTTTATTTTTCTCAGAATGAAATAGCAAGTTAGATTAAATCTATCTTCGCTCAAGTGCCACTTCATCGAAGCACATCGAAGAATCCTATAAGAACGTATAATAAGAAAAAAACTTCACTTCAAACGTACCAAGATAACATGTTTTTTTAATTAAATTGTTTGGAAAAGATATAACTTTTTTTTACTACCACATAAATGACTTCTACAACTAAAAAAGTCATTGTTAGTTAATGTTAAAGATATGTATGGAACTTAACTATGAATAATTAAAATCTCGTTAGGTACATAATTAAAAACGTATGAACTCATTACAAAATACTTTGGTGCTTCATTTATACAGTAGCTTTCGGAGGTATATTTTTAAAACAAAGAAAATTTACCACAATCTTCGCACGTGGAGAAAGACATTTGATAGTTTATTACTTCGAGTTGACTAGAAAATTTCCGGTGGGGTACATTATTGCGAGCCTATCATCTCTCGCCAACGCCTCGATACAATTCACGTGATCTCGCGACATATCTCATCCGAACCCCGCCCAAGTCGACTAATATAAATATGAGGTCAAATACTTTCAGGCACAGTCCAAAAATTGCAAAGCGACAGGTACAGAGTAAGTATACTTTTAACATACGTGACACACTTTTCTTCGTATTGTCTATAAGCAAAAAGACAGCGCTTATCATTACACTGGAGGAAACTTTTTAAACTACCACATTAACTGTGTAGACTCTGACATTTAGTTATGTGGAGATTTTTTTTGTGCTAATACACTGATTTTTAATGATGTCTTTATCGCAAGTATAGTTATTTTTAATGTTTGCGAAGCTGAAGTTACCGTTCAATAGAAAAAAAAAAAAAAAAAAATAAATAAAATGGTTAGATAAAAAATGAAAAATCATTGAAATGACATCATACCTCAGTTAACAGTTCTATCTCAGTTCTATTGATACTTGTTACTTTTAAAGTTTTTTGTTACAAAATTTACGAAACATCCCAACGAATATATCAAGTACCTACTTACTTTGGCTGAAATTGCAAATTTTCTTTGGGTACAACTAACAAAACGTGTTTATCTACAGAAACATGATGTCTTACCGAACAGTCGTGGCAATCCTTGCTCTGCTGTGTACCACCACGCAGGCATTCGGGGTGGCAAAGTCTTCGATAGATTTCACCCTACGTTTCATACCTCAGATAGTTAGAGTGGCTGAAAATATCGATGGCCAACATCGGATGTACATGGGCTGTGAGACAAACAACTGCTTAGTAATGAGTATGGTGGACAACGAGCCAAGGAAATGCAACGTATCTTTGGATGCACATTACGCGAAGATCATGGCAATACGTAACAGTTTAATAATTCCTCTCAAGAGCATTCTTGCGGGTAAAGTTGCCTTGTTGGAGAGTTACTCCTGGTGAGAAAACGGACGATACCGACGGGTCAGTTTAGTCCACATGGACAACTGTCATATTGTCCATCTAGATTTTTTACTGGATGCTTACGAGTCAGAGTACAGATCCCATGTCCTTGATTACGATGATAGCTTTTGTATCTACGTAAACAGCAAGTCCAATTGCACCGAACAGCAGAGCCCGTGTATGCTTCGATTCAACTACGAAGGTATTTATAAAATCTTCAATATACTGTGTTTGAAAGAATTGCATTTTCAAGTACAATATTTGTTATATTGTACTTGAAAATGCAATTCTTTCAAACACAGTATATTACGTTATTAATATTATGTTTATTAATATTACTCGTACATTTAACTTCATTATTTTAAAATGAGCACACTTTCACATGCATTTTCGTAAGTGCAGTTTTTATATGTATATGAAGTAGCTTAATGAACCTCAAATACTTGCACTATTTAAAAAAAAAAGATTTTTCGCCAATAGAATGAGTTAAATACTTCGTACTTTTGCGTTATTTTACCTTTATGAGTCATAGTGAAGCAAGTAATATGGAAAACACTTTGCAAAAGTATTCAATTTGTGCTTATGTTGAAGTCATGTGTTAATGGTGCACTTAATTACTGTTAGTACAAAATTTGTACTTGAAAATGCACATTCAAAAATAGATATTTATAAATTGAATATTGTGAAAATAGTAGTTAAATACTCAAATGATTAGACACAATTATTTAAAAATCTATATTTGAATAGTAAATATATGCCCATCTCTGATTCGTGCCAACGATTACAAGCATTTTCAACGATTATTTGTCTATTTTCAGGTCAGAAAATTGGCGAGTCCGTCGACTTTCCTTCAGAGTATTACAAATACACAGTACCGATGGTCGTGGATAGACACAACGGAAGCAGTGGTGCATACTTGGCTACTTTCAAAAATGTTTATAAAGATTTTGAAAATTCCTACGATATGTTAATTACTCACTTGAGCCACTCTGGCTCCGAAAGCTTTCAAGCGCAAGAACACATTCCTAATGCCACTTATCCATACGAGTTGGAGTCGTACTCGAACGAGTATGGATACTTTTCATTTTGCTACGGTCAAGAATTAGATATCCCTAACCAAAAATTAAAGGTTCATTGTATGCAATACAGTGTAACAGGCCAAAAAGTGTTAGCTACGTCGACCTGGGTAAGGACGAGTTACATTGGATACCACAAGATTTTCAACCAGCGCCAAGGTGGCATCCTCATTTTGTACATCAAACCACCAGATAAACAGGTTGAGGTCAAGAGTATTACCAAGGATGGAAATGTCAGTGGAAGTGTCGAGATGGTTGGGATCAACTTATCCACAGATACGATTAACAAATTAAAAATGAGCGCCCATCACTTCGAAACGGACGTCAAACACTGCTTTGGTTTTGCTGGTTCCAAATGGATCGAACTTAGAAATGAATTCATCTTTAAATATTTTAGCGAGTGTATCGACAAGGCGAGTTTAATACCAAAATAATGCTCAAAGTAAATTTTCAAAGGTTTTTCAAGCATATTTTAAAATAAAAGGACTTTTGTTATTTAGTTGTCTGTGTATAATCAGTAAAACATAAAAACTCGTCATTCGACGAATTATTAAAAGTAGCTTTTCACTTGCTCTCTTCATCATTTCCTGTCATTCTTGGTTTTCGCATGTCTACTCGTCTTTTTTTTTTTTTTTTTTTTTGTTGAGAGGGCTGGTATCTTCATAAACGTAACTCCGATAAAAATATAAATCTTCCGTGCCATTTGAGCAGAAACTCACGTACACATGACACACGTCGATTTGCAATGACCATATACATACATCGCACAACTGCGCGCGTCGTCAATCTCGGGGTATCCGAGAGTACGAAATACAGCGCAGAGACTCGCCTATGTATCGGCTCCACCATCAAAGTCCGACGAAACTTTTCTCAACAACTCGGTCCTTTCGCGCATTAAACAGCCTCTACACAGACTCGCCAAGGTGCACCGAGCACCGAGTGCAACTCCAAAGCAACACAAAAGAAACCAATCGTTCCAATCATCGACATACATGTTCTCAGAACGGATGCCCGCTTCTTTTCGACGGCACACGAGTAGATAAGCTATGGCGGTTCAAGCACAGCCAGGTCATCGCGTCCCCAGCGCGCTTATGCACATGTCCCCGTCTAACGATGAGCGGTTGGTTATCCGGGGAACGACCCGAAGACGAGATATTCTTTGGTCAGCCGCGTACTTACCTCCCTCCATCACAGTCTCCGTACATCGAGACTCCCAGGGTAAGAATCAAGCAACCGTAGCCAGCTCTTCATCATCAGGAATAAGAATACCCTGGAAGTTTCACCACTGGCGCTTTTTAGGGCCATTATAAGTATTTACGTTCCCTATACTTAACAATCAATTTCATCGCTTTTTTTTAGGATCCACCTAAGTGTAAACTACCTTGCCAACAAATACATTTTTATTTATTTATTTATTTATTTCATACTCCGTCCCTTTCGGGTTTGGAGGGAAATACATTTTTATTACCATTTCCGGAAGCGATTCGTCATCTAAAAGACTATATTAACTAAAGACGGGCACTATTAAACCATGTTGCTCTGGTAATAAAGTTGTGAGATAAGAGAAATAAATTTTTTTCAATTATATATTTTTTGGAGGTTTAAAATCTTAACAGCTTTAAAAAAATAGCCCTTTTCGTAAATTACACGGGAGAAACTGCAAATCAACGGCTTCTTATAGCCAACGATTATTTTATGGCATAAAGAACGCACGGTACTTTTCAGCATAATTATTTTTTTGAATTCTTACACCTCATTATTTAACCAAATAAACTATATGGATTCCGAAAAAATATGTTTTTAATAAGAATATTTTTGTTCTGCGATGTATCGGGAATATGTGTAAAATTTCTAACTGAAAACGTTTCACATTACATGTCAACACACTACGGTGTTTTATTTAGTAAGTCTCTGGCGAAGCCGAGACGGGGGGCTGCTAGTACTTAATATATTATACAATGTTTCTGTGGTATGTTACTTTGGCTGGACGAGGCCTTTTCTGATGATCAACTCTACATATTTGCAGTGAAGGGGGTGATGGGATGTCGCGTCGTGTTTTGGCAGTCCCTCGCAGTTATAAAGGGTAATGTCTGCGATGCGCGGGATAACGTTGCCCAACGACTTGTTGTTTATAGTTTCGATAAAAGTGGGTACCGTGTTGGCGCAGAGTCGTATTTCATCCTTGGCTTATCAAGAGATTTTTTTTTTTTTTTTTTTTTTTTTTTTGACCTCGTGTGACGGTATCAATTATGTCTGACCATACGTACGTTACTCCACTAGTCGGCGATACTTTTACGGATCTTGGGTGGAAAAAGGTACTTACGCCCACTTGCTTTTGTCCACAAAAATCTTGAAACATACAATCAGACGGTGTAACTGATTTGTAATTATTGTCAAAAAATTACGTTTCTCATTGATGATAGCACGTATCACAGACGTTATTGCGTAATATTATTTTGACTGTCATACGAGGTAGGACAATCGTATGGACATTGTTTTCAGTTGCCGATCGTACAATTGTTCGGAAGTGGCCGTGAAAAAAGATTTTAAGAAAATTTTCACTTCAAACAATAACACTCTGGAGTATGATTCCGTTGTACAGGACTTTGAGTCATATGGAGAGTTTTATTCAACTGATTCGAATTCCGTTTCCCGATGATCAATATGTAGCATCGATTTGGGCCATCAAAGGGTGTGCAAACACATAGGTACACCGGAGATTCTGGACTGGCAGAACAATATAATAACGGGGGGTTGTCTTGGGTGGGCAGAGAAGGAAAATCCTTTTGTGGTAAATAAAAGCACCTGATTTGAGTTAATTTTTAATTCGAGTTGTAGTGATTAAAAAGTTTAATTATTTTGCGAAATCGCTGCTTAAAGTTCAACACGATTGTACATGATAGGTTCAGTAGGGATATATTTAGAGACGTGGAAAAAGCACGTATATTAAGTACATATTTTTACAAAGAGTTAAAAAATATAGTCATGATTTCAATAACCAAGCATATTTTGTAATTATTATAATTATTATTATTTTTCTTTTTTACCTATAGTCATAACAATTATAAATTGAAACCAAAGTTGCAAGATCAATGCGAAATGTTAGGATCTTCAATCGAGATCGAGATTTCCGATATCCCACACAAAAAAAAAAAAAAGAAATTATTCATTTATTTCAACTTGCAATTTTGTTGTTCCATCTCACCCTTCAATAATTGATTATACGTGAAAATATCACGTCGATTTTCAAGCGATAAATAGGTATAAAACAAAAAAAAATTCATCAATGAAACACTGATCCTTCAACACTACAACCAGCAAACACTCCCCATCTATCGCCTGCACCCCCCGGAAAAATCAAGAAATCAAAGTAAAAAAAAAAAAAAAAAACCAAAGCTACGTGCGACACCCACGCATAAAAGCCAAAAGCACCTCGTTGCGGCGGCGCGAGCGAAACAGGCGGAGCCTTGCGCGCGTAGGCAATAGTTAGGGTCGAGGCGCGCGACGGCGCAATATCCACCTCCGCAGCGGCTCGCTCAGTCAGTCGGTCCATAGCGGCGACGTGTGCCTCTTCTCCTCTCCCGCCAACTATACTTTTACTTGGCTGTCACACGTATTTATATCGTCCTCCGTATAATATACATTGTCTCCAACTCCCTCTCCTCCTCCTTATCCTCGTACGACCCGTTGTTTGGTGCGACGAGGAAAATCGCGTTGTCGCGTGACCCCACCGTCTCGGTACAAAAAAATCGGTTGGTACCGGTGGTACTCGTTGACCGTTTCGTGGGCAAAATATCACAGGCACGCGACAAATACGTAGCCCCGGTGTTCAGGACAGAAGAGAGACCCGATCGGGTGTGCACGACTACCGCAAAGCCAGTTGTCGAATAAAAACGCGAGTGCCTTTCCCCGGTTGAGATTGTGGTTGGCGAAGGGAGTCGAGGAATAACACGAAGATGGCTCGTGCTTCACCGTCGGTCGGACCTGCGAGGCTGTGGCTTCCGGTGCTGCTCGTTGCTCTGCTCGCTTGCGTCGGTGAGTTTAGCCGTGCGAGTTTTTTTTTTTTTTTCTCTTCTTTTTACAATGTCTCGAGTATCCTTTTTTTTGTAGAAGAAAGCGAAAGTTGAAAAAAATCATGTACCTTTTACATACGTTACTGGGAGCCTGTGGAATTTATGCATCGATTATTATTGATTTGGGAATCGTTTCCTTCCGAGGACATGCAAAATAAAATAACAAAAATATGTGCGTTCACTGTTCCCTGAACAGATAAAATCGAGAAGCGTGAAGTGCGAAAGATCCATAAAATAAGATTGATCGTGGCTTTGCAGTGGCTCAAAAGTGAAAAATTCACAATGATTATATGTATTTGGTGTACTCCACTGTAGCACTTACTTTTTATATATAGATCAAGGGTTTATTTATTCCAGATTAAAAATACACGCTTGCAGCAGCTCAGGTAGAGCTATCCGACAATCTACGAACGGGGATACACTTTTAATATTTACAGTTTCGCGCTTCGAAAGCATTGGTGGTGAAAATTACGTAACCCTTACGATTTTCCGTTTATTTATCAAATCTCCTTCGTCACTTGATTTAAAAAAATTTTTTTACAAATAAAATATCGGACTTATTGAGGAGTTGGAGGTACGAATACACACACGTATATGTAAACAGTGCAAAAAACTGTCGCGAATAAAAAATTCGTCTTAGAATTTTCTTCAATATTTTCATGAGCTTTGCGCTCCCACTTTTCCCAGCTGAACAGCTTTGGTGCGGCTGAGCTAGTATAAGCGAAGGAAAAATCTCCCAACATTGAATATATTCGCTTCCTCGTACGTACACAACTCGACTCCCTGTGCACACAACACGTCGTTATGATGGTGCATGTCTAAGGCTATACGGTAGGCAACAACTCTCATGTTTTCCGCACTCCAGAGGAGTATATGGTGTGCACAAGGGGGTAAAAGAGGGTGGAGTGAAATGATGTGTCTGACGCGGAAAACGTAAAACCCAAGTCGAGAGAGAGAGAGAAGTGTTAGGCTGTGGCAGGTCAGAAAGCATTATCGGACGCGTCTTGTTATTTTCCGTGAAGAAGAAAAATGCACGGAAAGTCGCTTCTTTTGTATCCTTTTTTTTCCATTCGTCTATCGTTATTGAATGTATTTTTTTTTCTACCTACTCCGAGAAAACTGGAGTGCGTTTTGTACAGAAACAAAGCAAAAATCGCGAATCAAAAGAGGGAGTTTGAATATAAAATTTAACTTTCTTTGTACATGTGTAACGTAAAAAATTGTGGCGGAATTTTCCACCTTAACAATCGAATATTCTTTAACGTTCCAAGAGAACCCTCGATTTCGTATTCACGGCGAAACAACAAGGCTATATAACCACACGTAAACAAGTTTCCCTCGAAAAAATTTCATTAAAACAATCATTCCTATTCACGAGTGCAAGAGCCCTCGTCGCCTCGACGAGCGAAAATCTTGAAAAATACAATCAAGAGATGGTATACCCACGTACTTTCACTGCGCGCCCAATTTTAATTCACGTACAAGCAATTTACACGTAAATACCTTGGATACCAAAGCTCGCCGTTTCAATGAGAAATAAAAGAAAAAAAAAAAAAAAAAAACCGTTAATTTCGCTTCTCGGGTAAAATCGACCAAAATCTCGCTTCTCGGGCACTTAAAGGCCCAAGCTAATCTAGCGCTCTTTCGGCCTTTTCTTCTCTTCCCCTCCTTTTTCTTACCGCTTTCCCACCTAGTCCCTTCAACTCTTTTCCCACTTTTCTCTGCTTCCCTACCTGACCTAGACTGCTGGTGATGGCCTGACGGTCNCACATACACCCCCTAAAACGTCTGGCAGCATATTATACCGCGCCCAAAGCGGAAGAGTTTCAAAAAACGGCGCTCCCGTGTTTATTCAATCGGGCTCCCTAATGGCGTCGTTTGGAGTCGTCGGTTTCACGTGTACTTGCCCGCCACACGGCCCAATGGTTCTTTGCGAAAGTTCACAAGTGGTTGGCCAAGCTTTTCCGAGGGTTCCGTTTTTTTTTCTCCCCCTGGCGAGCTACTTTTGCCGATTGCAAGAATCATGGATTTCGTGAAAATTTTCATCCAAGGAACCTCCCAAACGGAATAACGGGGATAGACAATGGAACAATGCACAAACCGTGGAAAGTAGTGGAGAGGGGGGTGATCAAACTTTGGTCCCGATTTTCGCAACTCCGTCGTGTTTTCCTCGGCAATCAAAGTATTATCGAAGGGAGCGATGCGCATGCATATATATAGACACCGAGAGCTTAATCCGCGAAGCAAACTTCTCGGGGGGATCAACGCGAATAATCAGACAATGAAGGCCAAATTGAGAAAATTAAAAGGATCCCTTCTTCTTTTTTTTTTTTTTGTTTGTTTATCGGACGGTGTATGAGGCAGTGATCGATTTATTCGACCAGAGTGCTTTTGGGTCCTTTCGTACGTTTGCCCGGAAACCAACTCTCTATTGCTGCATGGACGCTGCGATGTACATCGGTGGGAGGAGTCTTCGGATTTACCGCTCTGTTTGCTGCGCTAAGAAAAAAAAAAAAAAAAAAAAAAAAAAAAAGAAGAGGAAAAGAAAGAGAGAACGAAAAATGATCTTTACGATTTTCGGGTATCGATCCCACTTTGCTAAGAAGCCCCGACAGGTACCACGTACGTACGAATCAATCAACGACGACAAGCCGCGATACAATTTGTCAGACGCCGGAACCCCAAATCGAGACAAACGCGATCCGCCCGAAACTAAGGCACCGTGTGATTGGAGAAGAACAAGAGGCAACCAAGGACACAGGGGAGATAAGGGATATAGCTTATGCAGATCGCCTCGGACTTTGGAGAGCGAAGGGATTCCCGTGGATGTATGTATATGCATCGATAATTCACGACACGCGATTCACCGGGAATACTCCCCCGAGGGTTTAGATTAGCACCACCGTCCAGGCCGTGGCGTTAAATGGACCTGAAGATTCGTGTTTTGTGTGCAAGGAGGAACGACGCGCCGTGGCTTTAATTGTTCTTGGGGGTGTTTTGCGCAAGTACATACAAACAGGAGGGAGATAGAGACTTCACTCGGAGCTACTGTATACGAGGGGGATAAAGTTTGGCTCGAGGGGCTTTTGGGTAATGTAACGATGCTGCGTTGGCGAGAACTGCATTGCCTTTTAATGGCGCTTATTGCCTTTTTGGGAGCTTTACAGTTGCTTTGTATGTTTGTGTCGCACTTGTAGAAGCCAATGGAAATAACCAAGCAGAACTTTGGACGGGAACAACTGGTGCGGGTGTGATGTGTCGTTGTTGCACACGAGTCAAAAGTCCAACGTGGTTTCACATTTTCTCTGCGAAAATTTTAATCACTGAAGAAACTAATTATTAATCCGTATTGTCACTTGCTGTACAGTTACCGATTTTTCAGTTTTTCAAAAACTATTTACCCCAGATCGATAGTTTTAAGTATCATACAGTTACTGCACTGGGGTGAAAAAAAGGTAAAAGTATAGTCACTGTTTCAGATGTATGAAAGTATCCCAAACCCACGCCTTTTATCGTACAAGTTTATCCTTAAAAAGTAGCAAATCGCTGTTGTTCCGACAAAAATCGGTATCCCAAAGTTTACATCGCGATGGAAACGATACAGAAATTTAAACTTACGTCGTAACGTACGTCTATATACATGGCTACGCCGTTGCGTGAAATAGTTACGCGCGATTGAGCCAATGCGGAGTATCGATCTCGGAGCCGATAACGCGCATCGACCGCTCCAAACGACCCTCCTCGGATATTTATGTCCAACTGCAACGAGCGGCTCAATGTGACGAATTTCAAGAAATCCCCTAATAGACTCTTTATACATACGTGATATCTGACGGGCACGCACCTTTTGGTTCTCGAGCCTCTACTTTTCTCTTTTACAAAACGAAGCAGATGGGAGCTTCTGGCTAATTGAATCCCTAATACCGCGAGTTGGCTCCGGAGCGCGGAAATTTGCATACTCCGACCACGTGGAGGAAGGCAATTGAAATTCGGCCAAAATTAAAGCGTATCAGCGATCATGAGGATTATTTTTATATGCAGGATGACCGCAAGCTCGCCCGTGGAAAAGAAATAGACCGCCCTCAATCACCGTCCGGAAAGAAGAAGGGGCGGTGCAACGAACAACTGAGAGTACAAATCTCGTCAGCTCGACCGAGAGGAGACAGCTGCACCTAGCCCGTACGGACGGTGGAAATCAGCGCCCATGGAAAACTATAGGCCTTGGCACTCGTTAACGAAGGGGTGGGGGATCCAAAGCGTTAATACACGGCGCTCGAACATGGCAATTGGTCTCGATCGTTAGCTAACGGAGCTCCAGGGATACATGGAGAGCCGGATGGCTGGAGAGTTAACGCGCCAGCGATCGCCACCCCTTCCATACCTATTCGCCTACGTAATACATACTATATGTCAGTATCGACGCGCCAACGGTCGAGGGATGCAGGGCGCCTGAGCACGTACACGCACCGATAAGCTGTTTTTTGATTCATGCGCCCACAGTTATTTCTAATCCCCGAAAAATTCTTCCTCGATTCCGTACAGCCTTTCTACCTTGTACTTCTCATCATTGAAATTTCGTTGTTTTCATCAAGTAGATTGCATTTTTTTTTTTTTTTTTTTTTGGTACACGGCAAATATTAAAAATCGCTTTATTGGTTCAATCATACATAAACACCGGTGTTAATAATTATTACATGGTTTGCGTGATTACAAGTGGTGTGAAACCTCCTTGTATTCATCCGAGATAACTGAATGAATCGACTTTGAGCTATATAAGCGTCCAAAATTAATGAACGTAGGGATGGACGCGTGTGAACAAAGTACTTCGAAATCCAATTGCGGAGAAAAACGTGAACTATAAAAATTGCCCTACCCGGAAGTGGCAATAATGCACTTGTAGGCGTACTCGGTGTCGATGCTTTGTCCGTTGAGTCGTGGGTAGGCAAAGTGAAAGCAGTGCCG